ACGTTTAGCTAAATCAGAAAGCAGGGCTAATTAAGCAAGTTTATTCTATATCTATAAAAGGCTAAGTTGATTTGCGCATACGCAGTACATATAAACCTCTTGCTGATGCCAGTCTCGTGTTTTGATCTGTCATTGTCAATAGTGAATTTGGTTGACACTTCTATCATAGAGAAAGGGAGACTAGCGATATTAAGATAATTAATTCTTATAATTTCCTTTCAATGTACTCAAATTTGTGCACTGGGTCAACGTTTATTTTTAAATTGCCAGTGAGGGTCATGTACCGGATGGTCGGTTGGCTGATCGGTCACTTAGCCTTTTATATATATAGATTGGGGTGACATTGGTTCACTGATCTTTTGTATATAAATGTCTTATCCTTTCAAAAGTCCTGTGTGGCAGCCCAGCTGGTGTGGTTCAGTGGTTAAGCATTGACCTATAAACCAAGAGGTCACAGTTCGACAGAGACACACACCTGGACCTGCATGTTTTTGTTTTTACTTTAAACTTCACTGGTCGCACCCAGCTTCTTCCTTTGCCAACATGCAAGTTCTTTTCCTTCCCTGCCAGCCAGGCAGGCAGATGGGAGAGGCAGGTGCAGCCTTTCTTGTCGGTAGTTCTTTTCTTTTGAAGGCAGTGGGTTTTTCTCTTGCATTTCTGTCTTCAGTTTCAATTTATCAAATTCCTCAGTCTCAGCCACATTGGGTTTGTCAGATGTGGTTGCAGAGCCGGGGGAGTGAGGTTCGAGGAGTCTGATCGGCTCAGTGGCTGCCCAGTCTCGGTGGGTGGGGGCCGGTAGGGAGGGGAGGGAGACTTAGAGACAGAGTTTCTTAGTGAACGATATGTACATTTCTGGGATATACTCAATTTGGTCATGGTATATAGTCTTTAAAAAGTATTAGAATGTAGTGCATTTTCTATATACTGGTGAGTTTACTAACATTTTAAAGGATTTTCTTACATTCATGATGAAATTAGCCATGTGTTCGCTTATGTACTGTCCTTGTGTGGTTTTAGGGCCAGGTTTACATTGGCCTTACAGAATCGGGGGGTGGGTATTCTGTTTTTATATTTGGTTTAATAAGATTGAGATGCTCATTTCTTGAGCGTCTGTAGACTTTGTCAAATTTGGCGTGGTGTTTTGTCATTAGATTTTTAATTACTGCAGTTACAAAATTTTTTAAGCTTTCATAGCTGTTGTCTGCAGCAAGTCATATTTTTCTAGGAGCTTGTCAGTTCTGTCAGTATTTTCAGATCCTCAGGCTGTGGATGACTCACCAAAGGCTCTTACCCATCAAAGCCCCACAAAAACATAACCTCTGTGAAGTCTTAATTGCTTTCTGCAAATTGACTTCAGGATTTAAAATTCTGTAATCAGGAGTCCAGGACTCTGACTTGTTTTTGTGGTTTGAGCTGAGACCCTGTTCACATTCAGGCGAGGACAGTACTGTGTGTACAGGGAAGCAGTTGGCAACCTAAATTCCTCCGTTGTTGCCGAAACCGGTTTGGCTCAGTGGATAGAGCGTCGGCCTGTGGACTGAAGGGTCCCGGGTTCGATTCCGGTCAAGGGCATGTACCTTGGTTGCGGGCATATCCCCAGTAGGAGGTGTGCAGGAGGCAGCTGATCGATGTTTCTCTCTCATCGATGTTTCTAGCTCTCTATCTCTCTCCCTTCCTCTCTGTAAAAAATCAATAAGATTAAAAAAAAAAATCTTAAAAAAAAAATTCCTCCGTTGTTAGCCCTGGGCATCACTTATACCCTCTTGGCCCTCATGTCAGTGACATGGCGCATGTTAGTTATAGCAGATCACTTTATATTGTGTCTTTGTACCCAATCTTAATTTCCAGGGCTTGGTGAAGGCTTGTGCACACAGTAGGTTCCAAATAAATGTTGGTTGAGAATGCCACGCAGGGAATTTAGGAGGAGGGAGCCCTGTCCAGTATCAGGGATAAAAGAGGACTTTCATGCGAAAGGGCATTGGAGGCGATCAGCCACCCAGAGGCCCTCTGCATCCCTCTCTCTCTTCCAGGCAGTGGAGCGCGTCCTGTACCCACACCTGTCCACCTACTGGACGAACCTGCAGGCCGTGCTGGATGACTACTCCGTATCCAATGCCCAGGTGAAAGCGGACGGGCACAAGGTCTACGGCGCCATTCTGGTGAGTGAGCGGG